CATCCGCCATGGCATTTGACAGTTAGAGGCTCAACGTACATTTCTGTATGATGCCTTCTTCCTTTTCCTTCTTCTAGTCTTATCTCCCTTCCTCACACATTTATTTAGTGCCTGCTCTGTACCTGAAACTGAACTGAGGACCAAGATGCAGAGCTGAATTAGTAAGGAATGAGTAAGTTTGCAGCCATGTGAGACATGGGAAGAGGTGACTGCCCTGGCCAGACAAGGGGCTGTGGTGGACATAGCTGCCCCACAGTGGTAAGATGATGAGCTCTGCAGGAGGGGTGCTGGGTGGGCAGGAAAGCTATCCCAGAGCCAGGACCAAAGAGTCAGTATGGAATTGATAGCCTACTTAGAAGGAAAAGGAATCAAAGTAGCATGAGTGCTACAGTGGGTTTTTTCTCCCCCATCTTTTGCTAAGCAGTTTAATTTGCATCCTTGTATAAAAGAATTATGAACTGGTAAGTCTTGACTAAAAATAAATATGATGCTCAAAGTTCATACTTTTTTAAAAAAGATTTTATTTATTTATTTGACAGAGACACAGTGAGAGAGGGAACACAAGCAGGGTGGGTGGGAGAGGGAAAAGCAGGCTTCCTGCCGAGCAGGGAGCCCGATGTGGGGCTCAATCCCAGGACCCTGGGATCATGACCTAAGCCAAAGGCAGACTTAATGACTGAGCCACCCAGGCACCCTCAAAGTTCAGACTTCTAAAGAAAATAACTACTGGCTACTTCATCTCTTAAACATAGTTTAGAACAATCTTGTCAGCCGGTAAAATTGTAGAAATATTTTTCTACAAAAGGGGAAGTTGAGGAAGTCCTCAATCACAGGGTTGTACAAATGGATGGATTCTGGATCCCCTGACGTGCAGGCCTTAATATGTATCCAGGGCAGACTCAGAATTGAGGACTCAGAGAACACGCTGAAGAGGAAGGTCTTTGCTGTGGAAGGGTGCCACCTCCTGGCCAGCCTTTCTGAACCAGCTAGGACTGGGAACAACTGCGTGGTTCTCACCTGGCAGACACTATCCTTCTATTATGTTCTGATATTTGAGGCCTGGGGACGTCTCAGGAATCCTCTCTCATGCTTATAAATGAACACAGGTGCTTGGCCCTCCATTCTGTTAGGTTTTAAGAGTGCACCTCACTAAGCTGATGCTCGTCAGGCACAAGGAAAAAGGAGAACAAGGTCAACAGAGAACAGTTTCTAAGAACATAATCCTTGGACTTGGAGTTTGATGGAGCCAAGGCCTGAGTTGGTCACTTACTACTTTTGTGATTTTTGAGCAAATGACTTCATATCACTGAACCTTAATTTTCTCAGGTGCAAAATTGGAATATGATGTAAAATTATGAGGATAAAATAAGATAAATATATGAAAATTCTTTATATGCATTGTAACTTCATAGTTACTAAAGCAACAGCAAAATAGCCACAAAGAATAAAAGCATCTGATACAAAGGAAGCTTAATCAGTCTGGAGACTGCATGGAAAGACACAGTAATCTGTCAAGATTACTGCAAGAAGTATTATAAGGGATTGCTTTAAAATTTGAGATCAAATCATCCACAAGTTTATTATTGATGTATCAAATGATGGACACATTGGGAGGATCACGTGATCACAACTAGGCTTTTAGTTCTTCTTGACGGCTTGGGTAGAGTTGGGACCCTGAGCTGTCAAACACAGGGTCAGTGAGGGACTGGTTGAAACTTTTCAATAACTATTGAGAAAATAAAATATTTTGTTTAGTAAGAAAAGCTCACTTATACAAGATAAGTTTTGAAAGCAGAGAAGTTTCACAGTAAAAGTACTTTCAGTTAAAGGAAAATATACTCTTCCAACCAGCAAAAACTACATATGTGCCCATACAAAGAAATTAGTAGTGTGATTCTTACATCTCATTGACAGAGGAAAACTCCAAAGCTTCTTTTTTTTTTTTTTTTTTTTTTTTTTTTTTGACAGATCGAGAGAGAGAGAGAGATCACAAGTAGGCAGAGAGGCAGGCGGAGAGAGGGGGAAGCAGGCTCCCTGCTGAGCAAAGAGCCAGGCATGGGGCTCGATCCCAAGACCTTGAGATCATGACCTGAGCTGAAGGCAGAGGCTTAATCCACTGAGCCACCCAGATGCCCCCCAAAGCTTCTATCTTAAAGACTCTTTTACTTAGAGCATTCATAAATCTGCCTCCTCTGATTTTTTAAAACAAATATAAGCATTATGATAATCAACCAAAAAGATAAATTAAGAGTAGAGACACTTAAGCCAGGAGCTCCTTACTATGTGCCAGGCTCAAAAGTAAGTGCTTTGACAAGTTTTAGCTTCATTCGCTCTTCACGGCCACCCAGTGATATATACCCATTCTATAGATAAGAAGCTTGAGGCTCAACAAGTTTGTCACTTGTCCAAAGCTTGCACGGGCCATTTAGCTGGTAAGTGGCCAACCATAGATTTGAACTGAAATTCGTTTCTCAATGAGTACATAACCCTTATGCTGTACTGTCTTACCAGTTGCTTTTGATTTGCCCTGGTGGATTATCAAGTTAAATGTCTGCTGCCTATTTCCAGTGCCTGCTGCTGGTTATCCAACAAGATAGGCCTACGGCTTCCCTCCTGTTAGTTAGAAGCCCTGGAATCCCTGCCTGCAGGTGTGGGTACCTTCTAGTGCCTTGCACAGATGCCCATAGAAGTCTAGGATCCGGGGTGATCTCTTCTTGCCAGCGGTGACCGCAGTGGAAATGGTGGGATCAGTGGGGCACCTGGGGGGCTCAGTGAGTTAAGGGTCTGACTCTTGGTTTCAGTTCAGGTCACGACCTCGGGGTTGTGGAATGGAGCTCCGCATGGGGTTCTGCGCTCAGCATGGAGTCTGCTGGAGATCCTTTCCCTCCTCCTCTGAACCCTCCCTTCTCATAAATAAAATCTTTTTGTAAAAGAACTGAAACGGTGTAACTTCAGTACAACTGTGTTGGATATGTGCACATGTCTCTCTGCCATCTCCTTCCTTGAGTGAGGCAGCCTGTCCTCTCGGGCCTTCAGGAGGCTGCTCTGGGCTATGAAACAGCAGGAAAGGCAGCACCCCCACCCATCCTGAGGTGTCTACTCATGCTTTGTTTTCCAATTGCTTCAAGAAAGACCCATTTCAGCAAAGAAAGTGGTCTTCTCTGATGTTCAACTAATACCTGAATTTCCTACTTTGAAACCTTGAGCCTTTTACTTTGTTTGGCAACTTCGTTTCTAGCATATCTGTTTATTTTCTGCTAATTCTGTGTGAGGAGGCTGCCTAGAGGGTCAGGAACCCAGCCTGACCCTCTTTGGCGGCCCAGACTTTGGGGGTGAATGAGGCCCATGAGGCCCAGGCCTGTGTGGGGCTTGTTGAGACTTCAGAGGGGGCCAAGCAAGCTTGTTCTCTCCACCTGTGTCTGTTTGTGTCTGCTCTGGGCACATCTTAGCCCTCAGTTATGTGAGTGACTCACAGAAAAGAAGAAAATTTTGTTTGCCTAGAATGCTTGGGAAATCATACATGGACGTTTCTAGCTGTGATGTGCGTGATCTTTCATGTTATTATTACTACTAGAACCAAAAATACAATGAGTCTGTGCCATCTGGTAGTAATAATTAGAAACAATAATATAACTAGAGATGGGTCCTAGAAAGCTAGGGAATGTAGTTGGGATTCCCTCTAGAAGCTGTTGAGTTGTGTGTTTTTCACCTTCACTCCTTTCCCACAGAGACACTCGTACATACTCTATGTCCAGAAATTTTTAAGAAACACGGTAGAATATGTCGCATGCTTATACTAAATCTATTGGTGAAAACTAATGTTCCAGAAATTGTTTTAAGGTATATGTGTAAATTATGCACATATGTGTACATAATATATATGGAGTACAAACATTCTATGCATGTAGTGCAGATACAATCCCAATAGCAAGTACTAGTAATCTCTCCATTTTACAGATGATAAAACTGAGGCACAGAGCGGTTAGGTGTCTTGTTCAAGATCACACACAGCTTGGAAGCGGGGGGCTAGAGTCCATATGCTTAGCCACCAGACTCTGCTGCCTCCATGATTTGGAGGTTTCCTGGGTGACTCGGGAGGCACTTTAGATTTTGGCAGTAGCTCAGAATTCACCATTAAGAACTCCAGGGAAGAGTTGGCTTGGTGGGAAGGGCACTGGAGCAGGACTCAGACCAGCAGTGTTTTGGCCTCGGTTCTACCATTTGTGAGTTGCATGTACTTGCACATGTCTCTTACACAGCACTTCCCTTTCCTCATTTGTAATGGAAATGGTGATAACATCTTTCCCTCTGCCTCACAGAGGTGTCGCCAGGACAGATGACACTGCAGATGTTAAAGACCTGAAGTGTGACCTAAATATTCAGAAATGAGTTTTCACATGGTCACAGATTGGTTGGGGAATTCCAAGCCAAACCTTTATCACTCTTAGCCCAGCTCCCTGTTTGTCCACCTATGCTATGGCGATAACTTTAAGCAAATTTGCGCTGATCGCTGTTATCTCCTTCTTGGAGAACTGAGAAGTGTCCCACTCCCCCTTGCATGATCCCCTCGTTACTATCATGGCAAACATGCTACTCCACTCAGAAATCATCTTTCTTTTCTTCTGACTTGACAGTCCTTATTTTTCCTTTGTCCATTGCATATAACAGGCTAAGATTTCCTATTCCCAATGAAAATTCCCTTTATAAATTTAAATCAAGCAAAATCAAATATGCTCCGAATGGAAGGGGTCTTCTCTGAGCTAGACCAAGATAGACTGAGGGTCAGCATGAGGGACCTACCTGACATCACCAACAAATTAGGACCAAAGCGGGGCAAGAAGCCACAAGCCCCAGATGCCATCCTGTCCTGGTTTATGGCCCAGCCACTTGCACTGAGAACTTGCAGGCTGAGATTTGTGTTGGTCCTGTGTGTTATTACTGATCGCTCTTCTGCAAGGAATGTCTTCCTCCCTTGAGCTTTTGTCCTTTGTCACTCACAGGCGAAGACTGCACAGGCTGGGTGTGTCAAAGGTTACCCAAGTGGATTTCCTGCCCAGGGAAGTCGTGTCCTACTCCAAGGAGACCCAGACTCCCCTAGCTACGCATCAGTCTGAAGGTAAACTCTGTCTTTTGTTTGCTTTCCATATTATCTCTGGGAGAAATTGCCAGTGTCATATCCTTCTGGTTCATTTTATATCTGACCATAACAGATCTTCCCAGGACATAAACATAATGACACACTGTGAAAGTCTTAAGACTCCTTTGGCACAGGTTTTAAAAGCTCTGGACAGGGAGCCCAATGGTACTCCTCCAAAGGACCCGTGAACTTTAAAATGGATTACTTAGGTGACATTTTTGTCAAAACTGTATGAAGGGGGGAAATCATCACGGGGTAACATACTAGAAACTTTTCTGAATTTAATCCGTAAGAACAGTGTGAACATTAAGAGGCATCATTTTCAGGAGGCAGCAAACAGCAGCACCCCACCTGTTCCTCCAAATCAAGTGTTTGGGGACACAACCACACCTAGTCGTTGGTGTCTGTAGTCTGTGTGGCTCCTTTCTTGCTGTAATCGAAGGGTCGAGAAGCTGTGACAGAGCACTCACAGCTCACACAGCCAAAACTCCTTAATCTGGCACCTTAGAAACACTTGGCTGATCCATGACTGACTTTGCCATTCAGATGAAAACACATTAGAGTTTCTTACCATTTAAAATTTAAAACCAGTTAAAATCTCTACGCTTCTTTGTGCCTGCTGGAAAACATCGGGTGGAAAATTCACATGCACATCCCAGTCCGTCAAATAATACTCTCAGAGAAATTGGAGCTGCTAAAATGCTCCCCCGAGAAACAAGAAATCCCACGTAAGCAGAAGAGGGAGAGGTGTGTGCTTCGGATAAGAGGAGGTAGCCTCCTTGGAAAAGAGCATTATCGGTATAGCCAAGCAAATTCTCTTTTTACTTTGTGGTATTTTATTGTTTGGTGTGGTGAAGAGAGTGGGAGAGTTCTGGGTCCATGGTTGTTATGTACTAAATACTGAACAGAAGCACAAGAATGAAAAATGATTTGCAAGCCTTGCTTGGTTTACAGTGAATGTATGTATTCGTGCAGTTTGGTTGGTGCGAGCTACAGAGCTTTTCAGTTTGGGTTCCAAGAACATAATATCCAAAGTGAAATCTGGTGCCTTGAAGTAGTGCGCTCCCCACAGGACTTCTGGAAACCTTTCCTGGGTGATGCCGGCTGCTGCTGGGATGAGCCTGGTGACAGGGCCCTAATCTTTCAAATCTGAGAGTGAAAGGATTATTAGAAGCAAACAAGGAGCACCCTCTGGTGGTGAAATTTTAAACCCATCACTTCTCCAGACTTCAAGAACTGCATATTAAAGTGGCAGCACAGAGTTAGAAAAGCCTTTGGGAGTTCACCTACTCTATCCTTAGACCTCCAGGCAGATCAGAAAGATTATTAAAAAACAACCTCACCACCCAACCAAAACATTTGTTTGAGTTAATTTGGTGCCTGAGGTATTTGCAGAGCTGTAGCCTGAGGTATGTTTATTTAGCCGAAAATCTGACCCATAACCTAAAGTTATACAACTGAAATAGGAGAAGGAGTGAATTCTATTTTGAAAATGTGTAGACTGCAGATATTGGAAGGGGTACAGACATATTTACAAGGGAAGATAAATTAAGGATGAAAAGGCCTCGACTCTCAACTTTGAAACTAGAACACATCAAAAGAAAAAGCCTGGGCATTCCGTTTTATTACTGCAAAGAGAGCTTGGGCGCCCTCGTTATGCTGTGGTCCAAGCAGCAGGAAAGAAGGAATTTATTTCTCCGCCATTGGCAGAAGTTCTTCCTGTTTTGTTAAACAAGATTCATAGAGGTTGTTTTTGCGGCGGTGGGTGTCTCGATGGTTCAGATCCCACAATACAGATTTGAACTTGAAGCTAGCCCCCGCAGCTCTAGACATTAAACAATGCCCGATGGGTCCAGACTGGCAGAACTTCAGACTGGGGTTCAGCAAGTTGTCCTCTCGCTGCAGACACTTCTTCGACCTTGGGCCACCCGCTGTCGCCCAGCTGCCTGGCTGACAAAGGTGCCCCGTGCTCGCCTTTCACCTGCTGTGTGAAGGGAGCTGGTGGAGGGAGGACTGGGGGGCACATCGGGCAGTGGGCAGCGGGAATCCACCACTTGGCAGGTTTTGGTTGGCTTCTGATTTGGGGCTTGAGCCATGGCAATGTTTTCCTGACAACGGTAGCCGTTCAGAAGTAGGAGGTGATGAACTATTGGATTTTATGACACAGTGAGGCTCTTGGATGGGTACTATATAAAGCTGTGGTGTATGTAAGATCCGTGGCGTATTATTGCCCATAGCATATGGAAGAATGTGTTTTTTTAAGTCATACTGCAACTATGGAAAATGTAACAATAGTCAAACGAGTGATCTCAGAGCATCGATGAGTTCTATATCCAAGGGAATTCCAGTGCACTAAGTTTTTGCCATGTTGCCACTTTACTCTTTAAAAAGAAGGGGAAGGGACTTTTCCCAAATTTAAGTCTCTTTTCTCCACCACGCACTATAATGAACATTCTCTTAACTTGTGATTGTAATGACCTGTTCTGAGAAACACTCCGGAGAATGATTTAAACCAGGATGATTAAGGATTGACGTCCCTATGAATACTATTTTTCAATACATATTTAAGTCATGAACTACAGAAAAATAAGGCTGAAAATAGGACACCCTGATTTGGGAAGCAGGATATCTCTATCCCCCAAACATTTTAAACATGGGTTTTTTATTCCCAAGTTGTAAGAAAGGAAAAAAAAAATTATGCTTCCCTGCCAGACTACCCCTGCCTTGCCTGTTATTAATACGCCCTGGACTGACTGCCCATGACCTCCGGACATTAGTTAGGAGCCAGTCTTCTGTATCCTTATTACGGTGGGTACGTGGCTGGCTCATACACGGCACCCAATAATGCTGTTGAATGACAAAGATGATGCCACAGATATCTTAGAAACTCCCAAGTTCTGTAATGAGCCCTAGAAGGATGAGAATTTCTTAACTTCTTAACTAATGAGTAAGCCACTCTGGAGGGAGGAGGAGAAAACTTATACAACCTGTTGGTAGTGTTTGAAGTGTTCTCTGATCTTCCTCTCCTCTCCATATCTTATCAACAGGAACTTAATGGCTTCGGGTCGGCTCCCTCCCTTCCCACTGCTTCCCTCCCATGCCTTGTTTCTTATGCCCAAGAAAGACCAATCTGCTTTCGTTGTCCATAGTGCCGCATGGCGTTGGCTTCCATATATGCATGTGTATGCCTCCCATCCCAGAATGCTCTCTCTCCTGTCTGCCTTCCTTTGGGAAGTCAAAGGAGGAAGGAACAGTCAAGGATTATCTCCTTGGTAATTCCACTTATGGTAGGTGTCACTCCTACCATGAGCTTAGTCCATCTAATGATTATCTAAATGTCTGCCTCGGGTGGGCTGCATGTCCTTCCCTCCCATGCCCAACATGGTGCTTGGCTCAAGGAAAGGGCTCAGTATCAATGGAAGAAATGAAGAATGCCATGACGCTGGAGGAATAAGAAGGAAGGAAGAGAAAGTATTCACCATACTTGTGCGGGGAGGGAGTATGACTGATGCATTAAGGTTACATTGGCTTTCTGGGGTTTTTAAGGAAAAGTCCTGAGAGTGAGCTTGTGTGGAGAGGGGAGTTCAGGGTTTCCATTTTAGCCAGGCCTCTAATTTTATTCCCATGAACATGAGCATTAACTATCCATGAACATGGCACAGTTATGAGAACAGAAGGAGAAAATCGCCTGTGTTGGTCAGGACAGAGCAAAGCAGTCACCAAGTTGTTACTGTGGGAGACACTACTGAAGTACTTGAAGTTTGGAAGAGATGTGAGGGGAGGTGGCTAAGGAAAGCTTTTGTTTTACTTTTGCACTTTTAAAAATATATATATTTTCTTGATTGGTTGAGGAGAATTTCTGCTTTGGCTTCCCATCCTCTCCAATATATACTTAATCCAAAAGCTGTAAGTGTAAGAGAGTTGACTAGGGTAGTCTAGTCTAGCACTGTCCAATAGAAACATAATGAACAAATCACTACTTTTGTATCTTGGGGGTAAATACCAGTACTGCGGTTGCTGTGTCTTAGGGTAGCTCTGTTTCAACTTTTTGAGGAACCTCCATACTGTTTTCCAGAGTGGCTGCACCAACTTGCATTCCCACCAACAGTGTAAGAGGGTTCCCCTTTCTCTGCATCCTTGCCAGCATAAGGCGTTTTCTTACTTGTTAATTTTAGCATTTTGACTGGTATGAGGTGGTATCTCAATGTGGTTTTGATTTGTATTTCCCTAATGCCAAGTGATATGGAGCACTTTTTCATGTGTCTGTTGGCCATCTAGATGTCTTCTTTGCAGAAATGTCTGTTCATGTCTTCTGCCCATTTCTTGATTGGATTATTTGTTCTTTGGGTGTTGAGTTTGATAAGTTCTTTATAGATTTTGAATAGTAGTCCTTTATCTGATGTGTCATTTGCAAATATCTTCTCCCATTCTGTCAGTTGTCTTTTACTTTTGTTGACTGTTTCCTTTGCTGTGCAAAAGATTTCTATCTTGATGAAGTCCCAATAGTTCATTTTTGCCCTTGCTTAATGTAGTGATCTGGAGGGGCACCTGCCCCCCATGTTCATAGCAGCAATGTCCACAATAGCCAAACTATGGAGTAGAGCTCAGACGTCCGCCGACAGATGAATGGATAAAGAAGATGTGTGTGTGTGTGTGTATAGTGGAATATTATGCAGACCTATAAAAAATGAAATCTTGCTATTTGCGATGCCGTGGATGGAACTAGAGGGTATTATACTAAGCAAAATCAGACAGTCAGAGAAAGATTATTATCATATGATCTCACTGATATGTGGAGTTTGAGAAACAAGGCAGAGGATCATAGGGAAAGAGAGGAAAAAATGAAACAAGACAAAACCAGAGAGGGAGACAAACCATGAGACTTTTAATCTCAGGAAACAAACTGAGGGTTGCTGGAGAGGAGTGGGGTAGGAAGGATGGAGTGGCTGGGTCGTGGACATTGGGGAGGGTATGTGTTG